CTCGCTCTGTCACCCAGACTGGAGTGCAGGGCTCGATCTCTGCTCACTGCAACCTCAGCTGTATAGATTGCAAAACTTTCCTCCCATTCTGTAGGTGAAGCACTGTTTTTAAGAGTCAGGGTATTAGGACTTGGTCTACAAATTACATTTATTACTTTTTATAATCAGGGTGGGGGAGGAAAAGAGATAATAAAAGATAAACAGGTGCATTAAAAGTTTAATGAGTTTGAGAATTCAGCAATTCATAAATCGGGCAGCACCAGATTGCAAGTAGTTCTGCACTCCACTGAGGAGGTAAAAAGGTATAAGGTGTTTGTGATGGTTAATACTGAGTGTCTACTTGATTGGATTGAAGGATGAAATATTGTTCCTGGGTGTGTCTGTAAGGGTGTTGCCAAAGGAGATTAACAATTGAGTCAGTGGGCTGGGGAAGGCAGACCCACCCTTAATCGGGTGGGCACCATCTAATCAGCTGCCAGTGAGTATAAAACAGGCAAAAAAACATGAAGCGACAAAACTGGCCTAGCCTCCCAGCCTACATCTTTCTCCCATGCTGGATGCCTCCTGCTCTCCAACATTAGACTCCAAGCTGCTCCTCAGCTTGCAGACAGGCTATTGTAGGACCTTGTCAGTGTGCAAGTTAACACTTAATAAACTCCCCTTTATATATATATCTCGTTTATATATATATATATGGTGTATATGTGCCACTAATAAGATATATATATCTTATTAGTTCTATCCCTCTAAGAGAACGCTAATACAGTCTTCAAGGAAGCAAGACAAAGTAAACCATTTGGTTAAAGTGGATGGTCCCTAATTAGAGGTTAGTTGGCAGTTCCTGATTGGTTAAGTTTCATTTTACTGTTTACACTGAGTTTTGGTGTGCTAACATAAGAACCCAAGGTGCTGAAGGTGTTTCAACATAATGGCTCCTAATTAACAGGGAAATTGCAAAATAGAAATGAATGACTAAAGAGAATTGTGGCAGAGAGAATTTGTTGGCTAACATTTGTTATTTCCTACAGAGGCAGAAGAGTGAGGTACTTTTTCTCAACATCCCTTAAATTTAGAGGAGGCCAATGTTCTGGCCAATGAGATATGCAGGGAAGTCTGCTGGAGGGCCTCTGGGAAGATTTCCTTTGCCATCTGTATACAGTCAGCTTGGGCTGCCATAACAAAATATGATAGACTGGGTGACTTAAAAAAACAAATTTTATTTCTCACAGTCTGGACGCTAGAAGTCCAAGATCAAGGTGCCACGATGGTTGAGTTCTGGTGAGGCTCTCTTTCTGGCTTACAGATAGCTCCTCATCTGGTGGGGGTGGGGGGCGGGAGGAGGAAGGGGGAAGGGGGTGGGGAAGGAGGGGAGACAGTTCTCACATCTGCTGCAGGGAAGAGGAGGGGGAGGGGAAAGAAGGGAGGCCGTTCTACGTGACATGAAATGCATGAGAGGCAGTTCTACATGAAAAAGAATTGCCCCACCTAGAATGCCAAAACGCTGAGATGACTGGTTTTCTATCAAAATAATGACAGACTATCTGAAAATATGTGAGGAAAATATTAACATGATTGATATAAGACCCTGAAATGGAAACTTAAGTAGTCTGAAAGTATAGAAATTAAATTATAACAGCAAAACCTATGATGCAGACAGAAAATAGGGAAAGTAAAAGCATCTTTAAGCATCACTTATTTTGGGGAGGTACAGGAAGTGAAAATATTCTTAAAATCACATTTTTTTTCAGGTTGGTAGGGAGTTAGTGAAAGATTAGAGTGACTTCCATTTTTTCATTTAGTAGCAGGAAAATATTTGATTATGAATGAAGATAATTTTGAAAGAGAAATGCACAGTAGAAATCCCACATTAACATGAGAAAGACAGGAAGTGAATAATAACTTGATCAAACCAGCAAAAATAAAAAAAAGAAACAATGAAGTAAAATAATGAACAGAGTAAAACAAAATCAGTGAACACTGAATACACCCACTGAAAAAAACTACCAGCCAGTTAAGAAAACAAGACCTCGAAATACGCAGCTTATAGGAAACACATTTAAAATGAAGGGATAAAGAAGACTTGAAAGTAGAGGTGCTTAAATAAGAGTAATCTGTGAATATGCTGCTAAAGTTCCAAATAACAGATCAGCAACTGAAACAAGGACTTATCTGAAAAGACCAACATATTAAGAACAAATAGGCTTTATTCCAAGGCGGCAAGCATGTTTTAATGTCAACTTCATACATACAAACCAGTTAGTCAACAGCTTAAATAGTAACTCATGATCACATCAAAAATACCAAGAAGGTTTTGATGAAATTCAGCAGCCATTTCTAATAAGATCTCCTGGCAAAACAGGAAATAACCTATTTAAATAAAATAGAGATTATTTACCAAATAGCAACTAAAATATTCTAAATAAATACCAAAACCATTTCAACTAAAGTTCATAACAAACAGGGAGGCCTACTTTCAACGTTATCACTCAACACTATATTGAAGTTTGCAGATAGCAAACATTTCAGAAAAGAATCTGCCAAACATTGAAAAAGACAAGATCAAATTTTTGTGAATGTCACAATTGTGTTTCTAAAAATCTCAAGACTCTAGTGAAAAACGGTTAAAATTCATGAGATTTAGTAAGCATATACAACGTTTGTTGTATATAAGCATACAAAAACAGATTTTCTCTGTGTATTTTAACATTTATTTTCTTGACTCTTTTTTTTAAGAGATGGGGTTTTGCTATTTTGCTGGGGCTGATTCTGAAACTCTCCGGCTCAAGGAGTCCTCCCACTTCAGCCTTCCAAAGTGCTGGGATTACAGGTGTGATCCATGCACCTGGCCCCTCTCTTTGTTTGTAATAAGCTCTTAAAAATGAAAATGGTCACAATAGTGACCAAAATAGAAACATATTTAAATTTTTTTAAAAGGCACAGGACTTAAAGAAAACTTCCCTTACTAAAGATAGAAATAAGATCCAAACAGAAAATGATACGATGTTCTTAGATGGGAAGACAGTATCTTGAGTCCAACTTCCCCAAATTAGTATGTACATTTAATGTAATTTTAACCCCTAATTGGATTAAATTATCACAAACTTCAAATGCTGAGAATAGCCAAGAAAGGCAGTAAAAAGAACAGTGGGCAGGGGTGGGGATGGGAAAAAGCTCTGCCTGAGCAGATTATAAGGCCACCAGTAACTGAATCCATATAATATTGTCATATGAAAAGACAGCTGTAAGTGAAACAGCATTACATATTGAGAAATAAACCTCATTAAATCCACAAATTTAATATATGACAAAGCTGGTGTTTCAGTTCATTGGGAAAAGGTAGTTTATTTAATAAAGAGTGCTGCATTGACAATCCACTTGGAAGAAAATTCAGTTGGACTGTTTGCATTCTATACAAAAAAAAAAAAGCCCAGAAAATCAACAACAACAAAAAATGGAATAAACACATAAAGTAGAAAACCAAAACAAAAAATGTAGAAGCCATCCTAGTGGCCTATACATGACACCCAGGAATGGAAACCTTCCTAATAAATATAGAATACTTCCAAATGTCCATATTTTATATATAAGTATTCTTGAAGATACACTAATATAAAGTTTTTGCTTTTTTGTTTGATTTTTGGGGATATGGTCTCACTGTCGCCCAGGCTGGAGTGCAGTGGAGAGATCTTGGCTCCACCTACTGGGCTCCAGCCACTCTCCTACCTCAGCCTCCAGGTAACTGGGATTATGGATGTGTGCCACTGTGCTCAGCTAATTTTTAAAAAACTATATGTAAAGACGAGGTCTCACTATGTTGCCCAGGCTGGTCTCAAACTCCTCGGCTCAAGAGATACTCCTGCCTCAGTCTCCCAAAGGGCTGAAATTACAGGTATGATACACCCTGCCCAGCCCTAATATAAAGTTTCAAGTGAGAAAAAGTATTATAAACATGGTCAACAGAAATAATATAGTTTTGGTGAAAAACACTTGCAAATAATAAGAAAAAGGGTCTACATTTAGTATAAAAAGAACATTTGCAAAATTTAAAAAACAGTGAAAACATGGCAAAACTTTAGTAAAAATGGACAAAATAAAAATTTTAAATGCAAATATGTAATTCACGCAAGTGAAATTCAACTGGCGAAGTTTTATTTAGAAAAAGTATTTATGAATGTGGTCAACAGACAACTTACAAGAATTGGAAAAATATTTGCATTCAAGAGAAGAAAGTCTGAGTATATACTGTATAATATACAAACGCTTTTTACAAACTAGTTAAATAAAAAGACAAACAGTAGAAACATGGACCAAAAATAATAAAAATGAAACATGTATAGAAAGGTATAAATATGAATACCTCTGGTAGGCAGAATTCTAAGATGGCCCCCATGAACTCTGCTCCTCATGTTACTCCCATGGGTGATGCTACACTGCAGGGAAAAGGGACTTAGCAGATGTAATTAAATCTACTAATCAGTTGACCTTAACCAATAGTTTACATAAGCTACGAATCAGTTGACCTTAACATATCTGGGTCTGCTTAAACTAGTCACAAGAGCCCTTTAAAAGCAGAGTTTTCTCTGGCTGGTGGAAGTAGAGGCAAATAATTTGATGCACCCTGGCGAGCTGTGAAGACTAAAGGGACCACGTTCAAAGACCACAGAGCAACCTCTAGGGTATAAGACTGACAGCCAGGTAAGAAACAGGAACTTCCATCCTATGGCTTTAATGAGGTTGGAAGTGAATTCCTCCCCAGAGCTACAGCTAAGTACGCACCCTAGAAGATACCTTCATTTCAGCCTTGTTGAACCTTGAACAGAGAGCCCAGTTGAGTTTACTTGGAGTTCTGAGCTACAGAGCTTTGAAATACTAATAGATAATTCAGTTATGAGTGCAATCCAAATGACCCACAAACATTTGAAAAGATTAGATTCACATTTATAGTAGTCAGGAAAATGGAAATTAAAGTAACACTGAAAAAAATCACTACATCCACCAGGATTTTTCTATGTATTTTTTAATGTTAACAATAGTTATTGCCATGAGTATTAAGGGAAAAGTATTTTTATACATTTACTGATGGAAATACAAATTGTTCCGGCCACTTTTGGAAACAATCTGTCAATATTTATTTTAAAATTTAAATATACATTTTTCTCAATCCAGCAATCCTACTCCAGGTAATCTATTCCACAGAAGTAAAACCATCATAGTGACATATACACAGGAATGCTTATTGTAATAATAAAAAGGAAGTAAGAGCTATGATAGACTTGAGAAATTCTCATCATATACTGTTAAATGAGAAATGTGAGATGTGGAAAACATACATGATCCCATTTATTTAAAGCAAACTGCCCACCAAAAAACTTCTCATTTATGTAAGACTGTATGTGTATACTGAGAAATTTAAGAGATCTTTATAGATTTGTAAGGTGCTCATGATACATATTACATTAGAAAAAGCAAGTGCAGTGTAGTATGTAGAATAAAAGCCTGTATGTAATAATTGGGTATACATACTTGTATGAATAATTAGAATGACAGATATCAGGGAGGTAGGAATGAAGGGGTATGATGGGACATGGTTAGTTTTGCCATTATGCATCTTTACGCATTTACTGTTCGTGTTAATTTTTTGCATTAAATTCGCGACTTTCTTAACCTGAAAAATATCAAATCATCCCCCTTCCCTGCTTTTTTTCCTCTGCACTTATCACTAATATTCCAGATATTTTACTTGTTCCCCCACCTGGAACGCGCTGCATCAGGTAAAGGCTTTGTCTGTTTACTGCTGACTGCCAGCAACTAGAACTGTGTGGCATATAGCTGGCACTCAAATATTAAGCCAAATAGTTTTCTGCTACTCTTGCTGTTCATTCTAACCTATTTCTCCTACCAGGAGTGTGACAGAACTACATGACCAGAAGTATGGATTCAGAGAGTGAAAAATAGTTATTTGCTGGATGCTTATTTTATTAGGTGTTTTACATCCATTATCTCAAATCAACCTAATTAGGCAGATCTATTATCCCCATTTCATAGATGAGAAACCAATTTAGAAGAGTTGGCTTGTCTAAAGCCTAACAGACAACAAATGTCCCATGTCCAGGCCAAATTCCTGCTCTTTCTTCCATGCCTAATTGATCTTAAAGGAATCATATTTTTTGTAATTTTAATGAGTTTTTACATGGTACATAAATTTAATATTGAGATATCCACTGAATATTTCATAGGTAATTTGCTACTGTGTTCTTTTAGTGACTTAAAGTCATTTGAATATCAAATATAAATAGTTGGTCTCTAACTTGTTGACTATTCCTGAAACAATTAAGCCCTTCAGCTAAAGCCCTCAAGACACCTGGGCCCTGCTGGAGGGCCGCCAGAAATCAAAGACAGAGATGTTCCTAGGAGGTTTCATAAACATGGGTATAATTACTATAAAATCTTCAAGGCAAAAACCAGCCTGAGAGCATCCTGAGGAACTTTGCCCCAGAGTCTTCATCTCCAAAAGAAGCTCCCCAGAGGGATGCCTTTCCTGACAAGCTTCCACTGGGAGGTTCCTCTTTCCCCTGGGACAAAAGCAGTCAGTAGGGCCATCTGTGGGTCGCAAGGAAAGATTGTGGAAATGCACCTGTTCCGAGCCCACAATAATCAAGGCAGGCTCAGGTTCCAGGCTAAAAGAGAAACTCCCCTTCAACGGATCAGAAGCCAGTGCGGAACAGGGAATGAGCAAAAAAGATGTGAGGGTGCGGGGATGGAAGGAAGGCCATCAACAGGGTTTGGGACTCCTCTCTGTCCCCAACATGTTCTGCTGTTTTCATGCAAGCAGGACTGGAACTCTGTAGTATCACCTGTGAGGTGAAGTCCAAATTCCTTCCAGTCAAGGTGCGGACCTCAATCTTAGGATAAGCTCCACAGAACCAACAGATTTGAGCATCAACTGTCAAAGATTTTTTTTGTTTGTTTTTTGGTCTTTGATGATTTGGAAAGATTATGATTTTGAAATGGGCTCTCTGATTACTCAATCAACAAACATTTGCAGGGTACCTTTTATATGGCAAGGCACCAGTCACAGCACTAAGAGGAATATAAGAAAAACAAACATGGTCTGTGCCTTAGGGAGCTTATACCGACAAAAGCAAACATATAATCATTAACCTTTATTTTTGTAGGTAACAAATGAGCAAGGTGTAAGATGCAAATCTGGGTTAAGGGGGGAGAATCAAGATATTCTCATTACCTGCTTCCTATGCCTCAAAAAAAAAATCCAGAAGATTTTGAAAGAATGCAGGAGATAAACATCACATAATTCCCTATTAATCTTCATATTCCAAAAATAATTTCTGAAGAATCACAGGAAATAAAATATTTGTGTATTTATTAGCAAAGGCAAGTTATATTATCAATTGCACACATCAGGGGCGCAAAATTGCACGGAACTACAACCTTCAAGTTCAAAAGTAAAATAATTTCTATCTCCAGAAAGCAATAACATTTCTAAAGATTCTCTTATCTTTTCATTGTAATTAGTAGATGTGTATTCCTAAGTCTTCTACAGCAATAAGAAATAAGGAGTGTATTTTTTTTTAATCAAATCAATTCTGACAGAAGGAGCTTACTTGTCCTGCTTGTTAAAAGGTTGAGCAAAAAAAGAAAGGAAGTCTGAATGTTTCAGAGTTGGGAGAAAGCCTGATTCCTTCTGACCCTGAGATATATAAAGAAACCAAACAAATACCAGGCAGCAAAATACTGAGGCATTTACCACATAAGAAACCACTCTTACATGGAAGTTGAGTACTGGGAAGGTTGTTGGGGAGGATACTATTCACAAACAACTGTCAAAAGATATGAGACTGGTGAGTTTTTCTTTTTCTAAAAATCATACTGAGTGATATTATCCTATCAAGAGGATATTCTGAAATATGTGGGCTATAGAAAAAGATGTAAGTACATTTAAAAAAAAATGTTTTTAAAAGCATAGTCAAAGCCATTCAAAAGAGAACTCACTCCATAAAAATGATTCTCATATTTTTTCATGAGATTATCACTTGGCCATTTTAGGACATTTCTCATATGCCTGGTTTTCATCCTGACATATGCAGATGACACAAAATACCTGAGCTTATGTTTTTATAGCTCCCTAAAATATAATGAAAACTATGCCTTCTGATGCTTTGCAGGGGGCTCTAGGATACTTTTCAAATCTTTCCTAAAAATATTTAATTTAGATAACAAGGACCAATGATAAACAAGCCAGACTCGAAACCACTCATTCTTTGGGGTCAGAAGTGATCTCTTGTCAGCCCATTGAAGTTGAAATGGAAGACAATGTGGGTCAGGCCACAGGGCCAGCTGCTTCTCCTTTTTGGTAAGGTACTTCTTTCCCCACACTCTCACCCAAGTTATCCAGCACCCAAAATAAACTCTTTCTGATAAAATTACTTTTGCTCTAAGTTAATTTTGTTTATGCATGAAAATTACTGTCTTGGTCCCATTTCCAAAGAGAAGTAGTTGGTTGCCAGTATACTTTACCATTTCAGCACATACATATAAACCACAAGCTGTTTACATCTACAACTCATGATTAATGCAAAATTTTGCTTTTCACATGCTTTTTTTCTTAAAGTTTTCAGTTCGGGCATTCTTAATTGCAGATGATGGGTTTCTCTCTATTACCCTTAATTTGATGATGCTATTATATGATTTTTAAAAATCTTTTGTTTGAGGTAATGAATTGGGAATCTGATAAATACACTAAATCTTATGATGGCATAAAAAATTATAGCACATAAATCAGTAACACTAACTCTAGTACTCCAAGTGCTGTTTAACAGATGTTTTACTGTGGGCTCTCCTTTACACCACTGGGTTAATTATCTAAAGAGGTACAGAGAAAAAGTCAATGTGGAGCTGGCATCTGGACCAGTCTTCATGTAAGGTGAATGGCTAAATCACCAAGGACAAGATACTTTTCTATGAAATAGGTCCTTCCTATCAGTAGGTTACGGCAGACTTCACTCACCCAAATAATGACTGCCGATCTACCTGAAAACACTATTACCTTTAGTGAAATATTAATTAGGAATAAGGAAAAGGTTAAGGTTTTATAGAGTTTAAGTGAAAGTGAGTCATTTTATGTTTGGTAGATTTTGAATTTTTTGAAAATATACAAAATTTTACTGAGCTAAAATTTGTTTCAGAAAATGGATTCCAATTTTCAGAGCTGCAGATCTGTATGTTAGTGCTTCTTTACAGAACTGGAGTGTTCTGGTCATCCAGAGAAATACACAGGTGAAAGGATGCTCCATGATTATAATGTTTAGATCAAAAGGTATGCTCAACTCCCAGGTGTTCTGGGAATACCTTATAAGCCAGGACAATGCTGGGTCACAAAACATCAGTGATCTTGGGAAGCCCAGAGAAGGTCAGAATACTACCTGGCAATACTAGGCTAACCCCAGGGGGTTCATCAATCCATGAATAATTTTGGGAGTTTTAATGACCTCCTGAGATAGATCACTCCAAAATGAGTCCAGCTAATCATGTCTCAGTTCTCATTAAAAAGATAAAAGAGATGTTTCTAACACTACTGAAAAATGTGTGTACATACCAAAGGATATAATATTCATTAGTATACCAGCATACAGAACACCAAACAATGGCGGATAGTTTCAAGGAATTCCATATTGTATCGTGGATCCAGATGGAACACAGAGACTGAGTTCTGGGCAGGCCAAAGGCCTTGAAAAATAATGTTGATTTGAAGGGGCAGGGAGAGTGGAAGACTTATGTGTGTCTGTTAAGTAACCAAACAAAGAAAAAATAAAACATTGTATTTACATATGTGTGTATAAATTTTAAAAGCCATTTAAACTGAACATTTGAAAAACATAAAACCTATTCATTAAACATGTGCCTCTGAAAGTATCACTGATCCAATCCTAGAAGATATTTTAATTTTACTAGCTTTTCAGCGGCCCAAATTCTCTGTAGTGATAAACTTCTCCTTCCTCACAATCAGTAATTAAGACTGGTTCAATAATTTTGGACTCACATATACTTTATCTAATATCCTTTTATATTTCTCTGCACTCCTCTACAACTCCTACCCCCAAATGCCCCAAATCAGACTATGTTAATTTAACTGATTCACTGTAAAGTTACAGCTAGATTCCAAATCTGACAAACATTCCAATTCATGAGACACCTATAGCACATTATCTATATTTGTACACTTTATTTAAAAACAAATAATACACTTAGAGCCACCAAAGATGGATATCTTAATTAGCTTATCCATACCCTGAATTTACAAAAGAAACTTCTGGCACCACAAAAATTAGCATTTGGATTAATTTACATTAATTGATGTAAATAAAATTTAAAATACCTAAAGATCAAACGATCTGGCCCAGGGCTCACCAGCTGGAGGACTGGGTGTGGAAAGAAAGGGTTATTTAGGAAACTGAACTGATGATACACCCTGTGGTTAGCTCTAGTCAACTGAACTTGAGAAGACATAAAATAACCAGCAGATTTCAATATTAAATAAAAGAAGTGGTTCCTCCTAAAAACGGGTATTAGATCATAGAGTTAGGATGGGAGTAGGGGATACCTCTTTATCTGGGCTGAAAAAAAAAAAGAGTGTGGAGAAGGGGAGTTGTATTATTTTCTCACAAGAGGCAAACTTCAGCCAAACAATGAGGAGATAGCAGGGAGGGAGACGGTAAACCAAAGACTTTCTGACTGCTGATAATACCAAATTTAGCAGCTCTCTACAGTCAATTAATATATCATTCTCTGAGATATTTTCAGAGAGGAGCTAACACCCACCCAGGGGGGAAAAATCATTCTACATTAACAAGGCACTCACTGGTTCACAGCCTGTTAAAAACCCAGGCAGACATTAGAGTTAATCCAAATTAAAATGATTTTGAAAATCTGCATCAGAGAGATGACAAGCATGTGGTCCCGGTTAAATCAAATCTAAAGTTTGGATTAGCAAAGATCCAGAAAATTCTGACCCCCTAAGCACCACTTCAGGAATACTGATAGAATCAATAAGTGGGATCTAGGGATCTGTTTGGCCTAACATTTGTGTTTTTTTAGAATTAAAAAAAAAAAAAACTGATGCAAAGAATCTATTAAATACTTTGTCAACTTGGCATCCCTTACACTGACATGAAGATCCAGTTGGATGACGGATATGGCCAATCACAAGGCAAAAGTAAAAATTATACCAATTATTCACGAATGAACTGTCCTTTGTTTTCAAACAGATGTTTTCTAGGCCTTTCTCTAAAATGAACTTTACGATTTGATACATTTCACAAAAAAAATACATATTTTTGTCAGCTACTACTTTGTACAACCTGAATCCCAGTGTCAAACACTTAAAGTACTGCAATTGTATAAATAACTAAACAAGTAACAGTAACGGAGAGGCAATTTCTGAGTAAATAAAATGAATGATTATGTTTTTAATAGTCTTGAAATCACTTTCAAAGAATAAAGTAATCTGAATAAAATTATAGTTAGAACTCTTTTTCATGTAAGTTCATTAATAATTTGGCTATTGGTTGAAAACATCACACAGACATATACCAACCAAAGATCCATTATCTCCACTCACTAACCACATTGATGGTTAATTTTAAGCAATTATTTTAAAGAAAAACAAAGCCTTTCAATCTGATTTGTGACATCTTAATATAGCTTAAATGATAAAGCCTGAGAAAAGCACCAACATAGATTTTTTTAATTGCATCCAACCATCATTTCAGATGTCATAAAGATTTGCTTCAGTTAAAATGGCAGCAATGACAAAGAGGTAGATATGAGAGATGCCATTTAAATATTTTAAGACTATTCTTAGGTGGAATTTTTAACTAGTTCAGGTAATTCCTAAAAATAATATTTACTCGTTAAATCTTTATCACGTAAGAACTTCATGACATGCTGTTTTGTAAGAGGGAAATATATGAAGTATTAAAAAGTGAGCCTTTAAAAAATGACATTTACTTAGCCAACATTAATGAGATCCCATAATTTTGGTGAACCAATCATTTTTCCTTCTACCTGAACTTTACTACAATTAAAGAATAGCTATATTTTCTCTACTGAAATTTCTAGGAGTTCACATTCAAAATTCTTGGAAAGTATATATGGTACTCAAAAGAGCACAAAGCGCATGAAATGTCCCCTGAAGTCCTAGAAGTTGAGCAGATATATTAAAAATACATTGATGGTCACAAATCAGGACCTTCACAGATTGGTAAACACACACACACACACACACACACACACATACATACACTCTCTCTCTCACTCTCTCTCTAACTCTTCCTCTCTCTCTGCCCCCTCAACCCCTGCCCCAAACTCAATCTTCATCCTCACTGTAAGGCTGCATTTATATATATATATTTTTAAAGGCACCTCTCATTTTCTAGCTATTGCCTTCTTGATATTTGTTTTTGTTAAAAAGCCTGAATGTTCAATGGAAATAGTTCAGAACTGAGAATGAAGTATTTTTCAATTCACATTTGAATAGCCAGGTTTTCTTACATTCAGATTTTAATACACTAGAACGACAGTCTTTAAAACAAGCATGCTAGCCTATAATGAATATAGTATATACAGTAATTTAAACATTTAGAACTATATATTATACTGCAAAAGCAAACAGCACAACACTCATCATACTCATCATCTGCTGTGTATACTACCTCCAAAAATGAAAATACAAAACAGTAAAATGCACCTATGGTTTTATATATATATATATATAGTTTATATATTATATATATTCTTACAATATATATAATATATATTTATAAAATATACATACATTTTAGACATTTTCAAATAAATCTTCATCATTATTTCCAAAAGAAATTTATAGCAAGAATACTGAAGGAATGAAAGTCAGATTAAAAAAAAAAATTTCTCACAAAGTTCATCATCAGTGATGCAGCTCAATCTCTCCGCTTTTGGTCATAACTAAAATGATTATAAAAGCTAAATATTTTGCATAACTAAGTATCTGTTTAATGGCAAAAGTTGCTAAACTTGTTCATTAGAAAAATACTGAAGGTCATTATATCACTTACGTTAAATATCCGTCTATGGTTTGAGTAGCAAATGAGCTCTATATGACAGCTGAGTTTTGAGAAGGGTGCTGCAAGCTCCCAGAGATGTATCCATAGCATATGAAAATAAGGCAGGGATTCACACCTCCTGCTGACTTTCATACTATTCCAATACATTTCATCCGAAATATTTACAAATGAAGCTCTACGAAAGCATTTCAATGGCTGTGTAAATATTGAATTTGTTCATTCTGTGAAGTTTCATTGAATGTTCAACAGGCTAGGGGAAAAGTCAGACACATGTATATGCTCCTCTGGATGGAAGACAGCTTTGGCTCATTTCTAGGCTGAGATCATGCAGTGCTGGTAGAGAAGACTCTCTCTATAGTCTCCAGTGGCACTGCACTGGCTTTCTAAGGAACTTTCAACAGTTCCATTTGCACTATAGTCTATGTATCTCATGGTTATTTTACACTTACTAACAGAAAAATTTCAACCATGAAGCATAAAATGAACAGGGTAAGAATGTCTTGGTTTTCAGAATTTCAGTGACATTAGTAAAGCAGGTACTGAAGATCTTAGAAGGTAATTAAAACAATAATTGGTAGAACAACAGTTTTGTGGTAATCCATCATAAATACACTAAGTAATGGCACCTTCCTTCCTTCCTGGAAGGAATTTTCCAGTATCCTTCTACAAATGTTAGGTTAGAAACATTCTTTCTTCACTATGAAGAACCAAAAGAAATTTACTGAACACAATATGGAATTCTGTATCTGCAAGGAAATATAAGCACTCACCTGATAGCTCATGTTTAGGTCAATTCATTTAATTACATAAAGGAGTCTCTTAAGCCTGCTTGTAACCAAAGTACAAAGATGAGAAAAGGTAGCTGTGTTAAAAATACTACGGCATATCTGTATGAAAATAAGGCAAATTTAGCACATGTCTTTAATGAAAATTTGCCTGTATAATGCAGAATTCTAGGGGCAAACAAGCGAAATTTTATAGAAATATTGTCGATCATTAGCCACATCACCACCAGCATACTTTTTCAAGGAGATGTACATATCATGAGAAGTATCACTGTTATGATGATGGAAAATGTGGGGAATGGAATATGTAGAAATTATTTTAATTGATTAAAATATTTATATATTTAATATTTTTTTATATCTAAGAGCTTATTTATTTTTTTGGTGGCAAGTTGGACATTAATAATTTATTTCTAATTTCTAGAATCGTCTCTGTCATTTGGGACAAAGAAAAAAGAGAATAAAGAGAAGCATAACAGCTATAGAAATAAGGTCTGTATGACAGGAGACTAGGTCTAAGTAGTGGTGTCTTAGGAATCCCAAAAGCTGACCACATGTAGGTGGGTCACAGGTAAGTTGGGCTGGGAAAGCCTGGCCTTTTAAGGTATGGATTTCCCAAGAAACAATACTGATTCACTGCCTATTAAAACATGTATATCTCAATTATAACAATGGGGGAGGAATAGGGAGAGAGAAAGACAGACCTTTTTAGTCAATATTTGGCAATGAACTCTTACATTCAGATTTCCAGGAGATTATTCTGAGAGAGATTAATAGAGGACTTCTGGGATACAAAACATTTGCTTTTAGTAGTACTTCCCCAAAAGCAGCTGCATGAAGTTAACCATATTCTTTGGACTCTTAATAATTATGAACTATTCTTGGTAATGTCAGATAAGTTGAATGTGACAGACAAAGAAGAAAGAGCACAGATCATCTGAAGCATCGTTAGATGGGTGTTGATAAACAAGTATTAGCAAATAACTTCCATCTTTTCAGTCACTGAAAAGTAAGATTTCATTGGTATGAAATAATCACTCTGGTACTAGAAATGTCACATGAATAAAGTGAATTTTAAAATAGAAATTATTATAGAGATATGCCCTGTTTAGCCTTAAAAAATAAACAGAATTTCAAACCTGAATAAGTTAAATCCTTTAGTAAAAGCAGAGCCCATCAACTATTCTTCACAATGGTGAGTGCTTGATAGCTAAACTTCAGAATGATACCAAATCTATTTTCAAACTGTAATACAATATAGAAATCTGCTTGCAAACTAAGTATTTGTTTAGCATTTCTGAATAGTAATATATTTAACATATTATTGCATTTTTCTCCCCCAAAAGGTAAAATGCTTTGCCAGGTGCTTTATGTGAACAGCTGAAAGGAGAGCCAAATTAAAAACTCAGTTTAACACTGCCTGGTCATTATACACGAAAGGGTTAGTATGGCAGATATGATAAAGATTACTATTTTGACTACTTAATGTGTTTAACAAGATTTCTCAAAAGAGAACTTGGTCTAAGTTTCCCACTTTTCTTCTGTTTAGTCCCAGCTATCAAGCCTCTTAATTATCCATTGCAGCATGCCCTACTTACTCAATAGGGACAAGCTAAACTTTTATTCGCTCAGGCCTGCCTAGCGAATTAGAACAACCTCAGAAATAAAGGCGTCTTTTGGGAGAAATTTGAAACAGACCTCTGGCTCACAGATTCAGCTGAGCTTGCAGCAACCTGAACAAACCTTAGTTTTAGAAAACAGTATATGAATTGCAAAACTATACTTCAACAAATGTTCTCTGTGCTCCTTCAGCAGAACAAAAGGGCAGGATGAGTTGATTCTTGCCCTTATCTTCTGTATCTCTTTTGTGCAGTTGATTACTTATAAACAGCTAGAAGGTGAAGATGATGCACTGCGTCATACAAAGACTTTAGCCAGTGCGTCAGCTCCAGCACTGGCTATATAGCATTTAGATGGGTGGAAAGCTACATCATGAATCGATTCTTCAAACTTCTTTCGATGAGCTGTGAATTCTTGGATACATGTCTTACTTTCTAGATTCCATAAACGTATTGAACAGTCATGACCTATACCAAAAAAAAAATTGAAAGGAAAAATTATATTAACATGAAAATGATAAGGACAAATAAATAATCCATAGTTGAGGTACTTACTGCCAGACATCAAGTAAAGGCCATTAGGATCAACTGCTAAACTTGTAACAGCTTCTAGGTGGGCTACCATCGAGTGGATCAGTTTGCCTTTGGAAAAAGAGATTATTACTCCTTATTAATGCCAATGCCTTTCCTCATCTTCAGGATGTGCCAGCTACTATGTCATGCTGGTTTCTCCAGTCTTCCCTCTGTGTGCTTACTGTATTAATGGCTTTTCCATTGACTAAAACAACGTTTCCCTCTTGCCTCTAGTCATGGCAGTGATACAAAAAACAAAAAAGCTCAAATTTTAGATTATACTTTTAAGACAATATGGAAGTCAGTTATTTCTAAACACATCTCTTAAGCCATATTTGTTAATTAGAACTTAGACATTATTAATCACCTACTTTGCATCCTTTAGCTACTGGCAAATTGAGTTGTGGAAATACAGAATTCAAATTCACACAGAGAAAACAATGAGGCAAAGAAAGAGGACAGAAATGAAACACAGCCACAATTTTAGTGGATACAACATATAGAAAAGAATTTAAAGTATTAAATAACTCATCACCAGCAGCTAAACAAAATCAGCAAAAGTCAACGAATTAACAAGGCAGATACTTAGGTAAATATGGCAGCTAATATAGGATACTTTCCTCCAGCACAGCTCTTCGTAGATTTCCTTTATACTGGTGAAATGTAATAAAATAAAACTTGAGGGCCGGGCGCAGTGGCTCTCGCCTGTGATCCCAGCACTTTGGGAGGTCGAGGTGGGTGGATCACAAGGTCAAGAGATAAGACCATCCTGGTCAACATGGTGAAACCCCGTCTCTACTAAAATTACAAAAAAAATTAGCTGGGCATGGTGGCGCGTGCCTGTAATCCCAGCTACTCAGGAGGCTGAGGCAGGAGAATTGCCTGAACCCAGGAGGCAGAGGTTGCGGTGAGCTGAGATCACGCCATTGCACTCCAGCCTGGGTAACGAGCGAAACTCCGTCTCAAAATAAATAAATAAAATAAAACAAAACTTGGGCATGTCTCCATGCACAATTCAAATCAATGAGGACCAACTAGTCAGTTTTATAACACATATAAGATTAGTCCATAGAAAATGAATAAAATGACCTGGAGATTTTCCATCTGCAACACTAAAAAAGGCTATCTGGTAACTTAATTACTGGATATTGAATAAGGCTATTCAATAATTGAACATTTTAAACAAAATATAATAATCATATGCCTCTACTTCCAATGTTTTTTCTACTTTTCCCCAATATATAATACTATAACAGATCATAGCAACAGATCATTTTTACTAGTATTTGAGAAAATTTTTCCTGGTGTCCATAGTGATAAACTTGGCTCTAAGGCCTAAATATAGCATCTGCTCACTACTAAATAAACCAAAATGATTCTGTATTATATAATAAAGACTAGTCTTAGATTTGGATGAAATGAAGAGAAACAGAGCCAGGAGAGTATTTGTGTTTTAGCGCCTATTCCCTGACTATGAAACCACCAACAGACATCAAAATTAGCCTACTTGTGGTAGGAATGTTTTTTCTTTTTGCTCTAATAAAAACCATTTTTTAATAAATTCTTACCTGTATTGTTATCATAGAATTTGATGTGCCTGTCTTCATGAGCAGTGATGCTGATTGGAAGAGTAGGATGACTGATTACTCTATTTATTTGGCAGGAAGAGTTGGCTGCTAAACAGAAAAAATTAAAAAGCAACACAATTTAGTCAAAGATATTTTTCACACAAAGGATAATTAAATTATCTACCTAAGAGATTGAAAAAGTAGGTTGGGTGTGGTGGCTCATGCCTATAATCCCAGCAGATGGGAGGCTGGGAGGCTGAGGTGGGTGGATTATGAGGTCAGGAGATGGAAACCATCCTGGCCAACATGGTGTAACCTTATATCTACTAAAAATACAAAAATTAGCCAGGTGTGGTGGCACATGCCTGTAGTCCCAGTTCCTCAGGAGGCTGAGGCAGGAGAATCACTTGAACCCGGGAGACAGAGGCTGCAGTGAGCTGAGATCATGCCACTGCATTCCAGTCTGGGTGACAGAGCGAGACTCCATCTCAAAAAAAAAAAAAAAAAAAAAGGTAAATAATGTGACTTTTATTTGTCTTTAGTTCATTTATTCTGTGATTGTTTTCAAAATTTCAATGTTAGGAAAGAGAACTGCCTGAACTATACTATACTGATAAATTTGGAAGTATTTCTAAATTACAATTTCCTGCTATATGTGCGTGCCATCAAAGGCTTAGTCTATAGCCACTAACATTGTTCATTCTACAATGTTCTGTGAGATTTTGCTACTTTTAATATAAAGTTCTATCATCACTTACATGGAGATAATTCTCAAATTTAAATCTCAGCTCTTTTTGCATACAAAGTTCTATATCACATCGTTATTATCTAAAGATAAATATGACAGAGACCTTCTTAATCCTTAAGTCCCCCTTTCACTCTTCCTCATCATAACAGAAATGGTCATCATTTGACGATGGAGTCTCGCTCTATCACCATGCTGGGGTGCAGTGGTGCAATCTGAGTTCACCGCAACCTCTACCTCCTGGGTTTAAGCAATTCTGCCTCAGCCTCCAGAGTAGCTGGGACTATAGGCGCAAGTCACTACACCCAGATAATTTTTGTATTTTCAGTAGAGACAGGGTTTTACCATGTTGCCCAGGATGGTCTCGATCTCCCAACCTCGTGATCTGCCTGCCCTAGCCTCCCAAAGTGCTGGGATTACAGGCGAGCCACCATGTCTGGCCCAGGTTTGGAATCCTAAAAGTCAGCATCCTAACTGTATTTTTTGTGTTAGTAGGTTCCAAAGAAACTTCAACTATATGCACAATGAGATAGGCAAGCACATATTATTAACCCCATATTACAGTGAACACATCAAGGTTCAGAAAAAGTTGTGACTCCTCCACAATCAGGTGACAAAATCAGTACCTGTTCTAGCTTCTAACTCTCTTCCGACCTGACGGTTCATGCAAAACACACAACTGCCAAAATTGGCTCCTAAATGATCATAAGTTCTTTCTGAAAGGCTTTTACCAAAAAGAAATCAGTAATTTAAAACTTTAGTGATTTCTGTTAAGCTTTTTACAAGAGAAAAGAAAAACTGACATAAAGAAAACACTAATTGAAGGTATGTCAAAGTTTTAAAAATTAAATTATGGTCCAAGGAGAGGAAGGGGTGTCTTTGTAAAATATATTACTCGAACAACTGTCAAAATCTGAATATAAATAGTAACTCAGATAATAGTACTGTGTCAATTTTAAGTTTCCTGATTTTGATCTACATTTTGCACTACATCAGAGAATGTCCTTGTTCTTAGGAATTACATGCTAAAGGATCTAGGGGAATGCATGACATCTCTCATATGGTTGAAAATTAAAAATTATACACACATATAGAGTGAAAAAGCAAATGTGGCAAAATGTTAAAAACTGCTAAATATGGGTGAAGAGTAACCAGGAGTTCTTAAACTATTTTTGTACCTTTTCTGCAAGTTAAAAGTATTTCAAAACGAAGAGTTAAAAATTTTTTTGACCCCTAGAATAGGTATTACAAGTTTATATTCACATAATAGAAAATATAGCTAAAAAATAGTCTAATCTTACTGGATTTTCATGTTGTATCTAGAAATATGACATCTTAAAAACTGAAGACAGTCTTTCCCCAATGAGAGTGGCAGGTAAATTACCTAGCCTGTTATTTAAATATAAAACAAAGTTGGGTGCAGTGGCTCATGCTTGTAATCCCAGCACTTTGGGAGGCTGAGGTGGGTGGATCACTTGTAGTCAGGAGTTTGAGACCAGCCTGGCCAACATGGTGAAACTCTGTTTCTACGAAAAATACAAAAACGGGTCAGACATGGTGGCACATGCCTGTGGTCCCAGCTACTCTGGAGGCTGAGGCAGGAGAATCACTTGAACTTACAGATGGAGGTTGCAGTAAGCTGAGATCGTGCCATTGCACTCCAGCCTGGGCAACAGAGTGAGACTCCATCTCAAAAGAATAAATATAAAACAAAAACTCACTTGACCATGTGGAATAAGTTCTTGGTCAGTTACATGTAATTTAGACATTCCTAAACAAAAAGATGCTTGTTTACAAAATTCAGACTATGTGTTATTTCCTCCAGAGATAATACTCCATTGAGCAATACCCTCTGTAAAACCCAACAAGAGAAAAACAGTAACAACAAAAAAAGAAATACTTTAAGTATCCCATATATTCTGAGAGAGACGTTTTAGAGAATAGCCTCAATTACTTTGAGAGCTAGAAAATAAATAAGATTGAAATCAAATCATGGAAGCAGGCAAAAGAAAGTTCTTATTTGGTAATACTTTTAAGGAAGCTTCTCCACTTGATGACAAATCAGAGAAGTAGGCAGAATGCAAAGAACACTACTCATACCCGGCTCGTGACATACCTGCTTCAACTACCTTTGACTTTACCAGTCATTGACTTTACCACAGCCACTGACGTCACTGAGAAGAAGGGTAATTCCTATTCTAACAAACATCCTTCATCACTTTAAACTCTATATAAAATTCACTTTCACCTTGAAGCTTGTTTGATCCTAACTTTCATTTTAAAAAAAATGCTAAATTCCAAAACAACACAACACAATCAAATACAAATAGCAAGGGGTAGTTCACAGTAAAACATAAAAGACTAATTTAAGTTTGCTTTATAAAACCTTAAAAGTAAAAAACGTTAATTTAGAAAATGTTGAAACGTATTACAACTCAAAATAATTATCATTTATTCCAGTAATGTTGCCTTTGTTGAAAACGTTCTTGGAAGTCTTCTCAAAATGTTTCCAGTATCAGGTAAAAAGTCCTATTAATTTAGGGTCACATCTCTTGGGGGGAAATGTGGACTCACCTAGTTCTCTTTATCCATCTTACCCACCAGACTTGACATCTTATTAACCTGCAGTCATTAAAAAGCACTATTTCCACTCAGGATGTTTAAGAATTGATCATATAATCTCTGAAGGTAATTAAAAAATGTTCTCATCATTTTTAATTTCTTATTAGTTTTTTAATTTACTACTATAGTTTTGGGTCATATATTTAAATGTGATTTTAAATTTATTGAGAGTCTAAAACCTGTGTTTCTTGGTGAAAAAATTCTCCTTTACAATTCTATCTTCTCAGTTTTTATTTTCCTGTCTCTCTTGTTTATATCCAAGTAGCTCAAAGTTCTATTCATGCTTACTTCCTCAAACAAGTCTCAGCATATCAGAAGAAAACAAACAACAGAGCAGGAAGGGAAAATGATGAAAACCACAACGGAATGAAGAAACTTTTGAAAGAAGAGACGGAGAATGAGAACAACACAAGAACATATGTACACATGTGCACGTACATGTTCACATATACATGCATACACATACAACATGTAATCACTTTCAAAGCTAGTTCTCAGATTAAAACAATGCTATATGTAAGTGGTATTCTTCATGAACTGCAATCTAAACTGTGACTGGATTATGGCTAATGACAAAAAGCGATTGTTAAGAAAGCCAAAAACCAAAAAACAGACTGTAATATCTTCTTCATAACCTGAAAAAGCATTTATTTACTGACTTTCTGCATCCAATAGGAAGCTTCAGATTTGGAATTCTGAGTGCCACAATATGATCTGTATTGAGCTGTACCAAATTATGCTATTAATATAAAATTCAGTTGATTTAAAATATGAAATTAGGAGAAATGAAAAATAGATTTCATTTTCTATTCAGAATATTGCTTTCTTCAAATAGAATTGAAAATTAATCATTTAGTATGAAATAAAACGACCCATCTTTAAAATAGCTCAAATGCTATTTCAAACAGTATAGTTATAAATGTACATAAACTTAACCCAAATTCTTAAAATGTAAATAAGTACATCCTTCTAAGTAACTGTTTTCTGAGATTTAGGAGACAGAAAGCTTTATACTGACAAACATTTTTCACAGCTGACTCTAGTAGTTATAATGTTGATTAAGTTAAAAAAAAAAGCACAGACTATTTAAAATTGGTATGCATACTTGTATCTACATTGGATTCTAAAGTTAGAATGCGTTGTTGTGTTTCCATGTTAAAGATGCTTGTATATCCCTTGCTGAATGATGCTACCATATGGCTCGGGTCACTGCTCACTAGATCCACAGAGGCAGGGATTCCCAATTCTAAAAGAGAACATATTGAAATAGAATGGCAATTAAACCATCTACTTGACAATGTGCTTAAAATATAGCAAAACAAATAATGGCATGGTTTCCTTAAAAAGTAAACAAGGCTTACCATAAGAATAAGAATTAGCTCATAACTATTCATTGGAGATTACTTCTTTGTAACTTTTAGCCCCAGTCTATTTATTACCCTTACCTGCTCAGCAGATCTTCTACCTGTTACTTAGCTGATACATTCATGGAATGCAAGCCTTTATTCAGAAAGCAAATGGAAAACATGTATAAATTACAAATTTTGCTGCTTCCATCCAACCTGGACCTTAGAGTGGCACAGTGGGAATTTTTCATTTAAAAAAAAAACCCATCTCTTACCAGAAATGTTAGCTCATCAAAAATAGAGAAATTAAAAGTAAAATTTAAAATTATTACTTATTGTTAGAGTTATACAAATATCATATGAAGACAACTCATCAAAGCCTGGAGAGAAGTTATAATAACTCAAAAATAAGGAAGGTATTTTTATTTACCATCTAGAATACATTAACACTTAAGAGTTTATTTATAAACATGAAAAGTAGAAGGAAATGTATACGGTGAATATAATAATCTGAATTTTTTCATTTGGCTCAAAATCTAACTACAGCAAGCTAACAGTTCAAAAATGTGTGTGTACTACAGAAGAAGATATACAAATAACCAATAAGCAAACAAAAGAAATGCTCAACATAATTAGCCATCAAAGAAATGCAAACAAACTAAGATAAAATACTACTACACATCCACCAGAATGGCTAAAGTTAAACAGACTGACAATACCAAATGTCTGTAAGGGTGTGGAGCAACTGGAACTCTCATACACTGCTGTCAATGTGTAAAATTTTGTGGTATAACCACAAAATTTTTTGAAAAATATTCAGTGATTTCATATAAAGTGAAATAAGCATCCACCTGAAAGTCCAGCAATTCTAAGTCTCTACACAGCTATAATGAAAATATATAAATGTTCATAGCAGCTTTGTACAAAAGAGCAAAAAAACTAGAAACAACCCAAATATACATCAAGATGTAAATGAACAGACAAATTATGGCTTAATGAAATACTATCAAATTTAAAAAAAGAAATAATTGATATAACACAAATGAATTTCAGAAACATTATAGAGTAAAAGCACAAAGAACACATACTGTATTATTCCATTTACATTAAGTTTGAGTAGATAAAACTAATCTATGATGAAAGAAATCACAACAGTAGTCTCTGGTTGGGAATAAGGAGAGTGCGTTGAGTTGGAAAGACAGGAAGGAGCCTTGGGGAGATAAAGAAACATTCTGCCTTTCATATGGTTTGAATCTGTGTCCCCACTCAAGTCTCATGTCAAACTGTAATCCCCAATGTGGGAGACAGGGCCTGTTGGGAAATGACTAGATGATGGGGTGGATTTTTCCCTTTGGTGCTGTTCTCATGATAGAGTTCTCATGAGATCTGGTTGTTTAAAAGTATATGGTACCTCCCACCCACTTCTTCTTCCTGCTGTGGCTATATAAGACATACCTCCTGTCCCTTTGCCTTCCACTATGATTGTACATTGCCTGAGGCCTTCCCAGAAGCCAAACAGAAGCTTCTATGCTTCCTATACAGAACCATGAGCCAATTAAGTCTTTTTTTCAAACAAATTACCCAGTCTCAGGTATTTATAGTAGTACAAAAATGGGAAAATAGTCTTTTTTTTTTTTTTTTAAAGAAAATGTAGAGACAGGGCCTCACTATGTTGCCCAGCTGGTCTCAGACTCCTGGGCTCTAGTGATCCTCCCACCTCAGCCTCCCAAAGTGCTAGGATTACAGGTGTGAGCCACCACACCCAGACTCTACATCTTGATGTATGATTTACAAGGGTGTACTTATCAGACTCACTGACATGTATCCTTAATATCTGTTTTTCACTATAAATTATATGTAATTTTTATTTTTATTTTTTTTGCAATGGAGTTTCACTCATTCACCTAGGCTGGATGACTAGACAAAGTGGTGCAATCTTAGCTCACTGTAACCTCTGCTGCCCAGGTTCAAGCAATTCTCCTGCCTCAGCTCTACATGCGCCTGCCACCATGCCCAGTTCTATTTTTGTATTTTTGGTAGAGACGGGTAGGGGGGTTTTTCACCATGCTGGCCAGGCTGATCTTGAACTCCTGACCTCAGGTGATCAACTCACCTCGGCCTCCCAAAGTGCTAGGATTAAAGGCATGAGCCACTGTACCCAGCCCTAAAAATTTTAAATCTGTGTGTTCTTCTTTCACCAAAAAGTATGCTTTTAAAAATTACAGGCCAGAAGCGGTGGCTCAGGCCTGTAATCCCAGCACTTTGGGAAGCCAAGGCAGGTGGATCACTTGAGGTCAGGAGTTCAAGACCAGCCTGGCCAACATAGCAAAACCCTGTCTCTATTTTAAAAAATACAGGAATTATACCCCAGAATGTACAGTACAATTAAAAAAAAAAAAAACAAGAAAAAAATTAGCCAGGTGTGATGGTGTGCTCTTGTAATCTCAACTACTCAGGAGGCTAAGCAAGAAATTCAAACAAATACATTTTTCTTGCTTCAAAAACTTTCAAATTATATTTAAAGAGTTCAGAGAATCATTTATTTGCTTGCTTGTTTTCAGAGTAAACTGTTTTATAGAGAATTCAGCAAAATAATTTTTTGAAGTATGTACCTTGAGTATCATTAAACACACTTAGTGCTGGAGCAACCTCCGTTGTATTCCATAAACGCAGAGTGCCATCTGCTGAACAGGACAACAAACGCTGATGTGCTGCACTATAAGCCAAACCCCAGACTGCATCCGTGTGGCCTAGCAGAGGGCCTCGTAAAACAGAAGGATCTATACAAAACAGCAAAAATGCAAAATCAGGAGAGAAAAAAACCCCCATAGGTAATTAGATTTCAAAGAAAGTAAAATATATAAACAACAGCACCTGATTAACAGTATAAAATATGACTCTTGGTTTCTATTTTTCTTCTGACATGCTACAGTAAACCAACAGGCTTGGAAATACACAAATATAAAGTTTGAATTTTTTTAAATTAAAATTAAAAAGCACGTATTTTTCTCCTTTAAAAAACAGATATTTCTTCCCCCTTTCTTTTGTCCTTCCATTTGTCTAAATATTTTTAAAGCATGTTAATACAAATCATTTGAATTTAATTCATCTTTGGAGAAATCACAATTCATACGCCCTGAGGAAGTGAACAGAGAGGTCCTCTCCCTCTCTGAAGTCCTTTACACTTTGGCTGTACTTCCTTCTGTCCACTTATCTTACTATATGATGGATGGCATTTATTCCTGAAAATATGACAAAATGGACAGGAAGTGACATTTACAGGAACCCCCAAATTCTCAAACAGCAGTAACTGAGATGTGGTGATATGTATGCAGGGGAAGAGGGAGGGAAGTGGGGAGGTTAACTGAGCACAGTCTCATGACAAAAGACAAATTGGAAATTTTACTAATCTTCACAATGATTCTATGAAGTGGTACTTTCAAGATGACTCACAAATGTTAAGTCTGGAAATGTCAATGGTATGTCTTATATCCTCTGTCACACATACCATAAAATATTTATTGAAGACACAGTGTGTGTCAGGCACTATGCTCAATGATGGAGTCAAATATATGATTAAGACTCAATTCTAACCCAGTCCTCAACAGACAATGATGAAAGTACAGTAATAGTGACAGATATCAGTAAGCACAGAGAATAACTGGGATGAGTGAAAACTTGGAGAGTGACACCTAGAATTTACAGATGTTAGCCAGTCGAAGAAGAGAGGGAGAGCATGCTTGACAAAGAGGCAGCATCTAAAAAACCCCATGAAAAAAGAAACAGCATGATATGCAAGGAAATTTATAAGCAATTCAGTGTTACTGGTGTGTGGACTTTGGGTTAGGAAGCAGATGGGATGAGGGCAGCTAGTTCATGGTGTGATTTCTATTACAATTAAGAAATTTGGAAATTATCCTGAAAGCAACAAGAAACCTGTCTCCAAGAGCAGTAGGATCAAATATATATTTCATAAGGTAATCTTGGTAGTAGTATAGAAGACAGACTGGACAGAATTAAGACAAAGGCAAGGGGCTGTTTCAGCAGACAAAGAATAACAAAGATCTAAGGCAAGGGGAAGTAGTAAGAGGGACAAAGCAGAAAAAGTAAATTCAATAAATATTTAGGGAGTCATTACCAAAAAACTAGGTAATTAGTAAGTGGGGACAGTGTGACAGGATAGGGAATCAAGAATAATTCTTGGGTTTCTAGTTTGGGTGATTCCTGTAGTGCCACCAACTAAAAAAGAATATACAGGAGAAGAAACACAGAACTTGTTAGGATTTACAGACAATGAAACAGTCATCCTGACACTCCTGCAGTCAATCTGAAGCCTAAAGAAGAGATTTATGAGTCAACTGTAGGTAAAAGCATAGAAGTAGATTCAGTCTCTCAAGGAATGTTTGTACAGTGCAAAAAGTTAGGTTCTGGGTCTTGATAAATGCCGATATTTAAGGCAAGAAAAACAAAGGAACAATGAAGAACAAACAAACAATGAAGAACAGGAAATAGAAATTATTACAAAGTATCAAAAAGCCAATACATTTCAAAAGATTTCAAAAAAGATGGAGTTGTTAATCTCAGATATAGCCAATACATCCAGTAAAATAAGGACTGTAAAATATTCTTGGATCAGGCAATTCGTTACCAATAATCTTGTTTTATTCAAGTGTTATAGCCAGAAGCCAGAATGTAGAAGGATAAAGGAGAGAAGACATGAATTTAGTAACTGGTAATTATGTTTTCTAGACAACACCGTCAAAGAAACAGATGATGAGGAAAAGAGAGGGCCTAAACAGAAGCCAGACAGGGAAACAGGGTCAAGAAAAGGCTTCTTCTTGTCCAGAACGGGAGGTACCCAAATTCATTTGTTTGCTGAGGGCATGGAAAGGGAGCAAAGAGGGTAAGGCTTCATAAGATTCAAGACAATGAGAGAACAAGAGCAAGAGATTAGAATGCAGTCACGAAGAGACAGAGAGAGATTCGAGTACAGTCCCAAAATAAACTGAGTACAATGGGAAGGACTTGCCTGAGACAGCATGAGGGACAGTTGATCCTCTGGCAGAGAGGTAAAGGAAGTAAGAAAAGGCATGGAACAAATAACTTATAAGAGAATTGGGGAGAGTGGGGTTAACTTTCACAAAATATTAATGCTTATTAAATAAATGCTGGGAAAAATTTTTGTTTATTGAATTTCTAATCCTTACCCAGGTTTGGTGGTAACAAATATAATCTAAAATAATAATGAAATTAAAATGTTTTTATGACAGATATGATACTTCAAACCAGTCTAGAACTTAAGAGAAAACCAAAATAGCCAATTCCTAAATAGTTTTTACAAGTGAATCTATGGCATTATCTACTGATAGATTATAATATGTATTTATGATTTATGAAACTGTTCCCAAAACTAAAGGGCACTTCTTAACTTTTGAGGCCTTTTATATATTTTGGTGTCATGGACTACAAAAATTATTAGCTTCTACAGCAACTGACCAAGGAATGGCACCAATATTCATTTTTCTTAAAAGCTGTTGGACAAGAATAGTGATGAAATATTATTACAGATTAGTAATAATGGTATTAAGAACCCTACAGATGCCTAAAATAAGAAAACAACTGTCAGTCAAGCCTGCATTTCCAGTCAATAAGACTTTGGAGAAGTGAGAACTGTATTTTCAAGAAGAATGTTTTTCTCTTTTCTTCTTTTAACATTTATATATCAAGTTAATTTCTAAATATAGAAGTCCTTTTTAACAAAATAAAGATGTGGTTCCCTTCACCTATTTATTTTCAAAAATCTCTTATCTTTTCCTTTTATATTCTATAAAAGTATTTAAAAAACTCATTTTATTCTTTCGACCTTTGGGGAATCACCTACCATAAGAATCATAGGGGTCGATGTTGGGATTAGTGGTGTTCCAGCCCTGGATCAGTCCATCAGTACCACCGCTGTAACACTGCTCACCATTGCTGCTCATTACCACACAAAGCACTGGACCTCTGGGAGATTAAAAAAAAGAAATCAATTGCTATTCTCAAAAACCAACCTAATAACATGATTTCTTGAAAATAAGAATGTTTAATTACTCAAATGGCTATTTTTCTGCTTTTTAGAAAAAATGAAAACACAGATACTATAAAAGCACTGTTCATTTTTCTTCCTCTGGTTTAAGAGGTTGGTAAATTATGGTCTGTAGGTCAAATCCAACCACTGGTCTGTTTTTGTACGATCCTCAAGCTAAGAATGGTCTTTACATTTTTAAAGGGTTATAAAACAAAACAAATAGAATATGCAACAGAAACGATATGACCAGTAAATTCTAAAATATTTTTAAAAATCTAACAGTCTAAAGTCAGGTATTTATTATGTGACTCTTTACATAAAAAGTATGCCAATCTCTGTGCTAAATCAAGAGAAAAAAAACATTCCTTAAATGGAAACAGAAAAAAATATATATGCAATGTATCATCACACACACACAAAATTCTCAAAAAACCTTTTAACTTTTAGCTTCAAGGGTACATATGCAGGTTGGTTCTATAGATAAATTACATGGCTTGGTGGTTTGGTGTACATATTATTCCATCACTCAGGAAAAAAAACATAGTACCCAATGGGTAGTTTTTCAATCCTCACCCTCTTCCCACCCTCCACAGTCAAGTTGGCCCTAGTGTCTATTGTTCCCTTCTTGTGTCCATGTATAATAAATGTTTAGTGTACATGCAGTGTTTGGTTTTCTGTTCCTGCATCAGTTTGCTTAGGATGATAGCCTTCAGTTCCATGATGTTCCTGCAAAGGACAGGATCTCGCTTTTTATGGCTGCATAGTATTCCATGGTGTATATGTACCACAGTTTCTTTATCCAGTCTACTACTGATGGGCATTTAGGTTGATTCCATGTCTTTGCTACTATGAATAGTGCTATGATGAACACACATACATGTGTCTTTACAGCAGAATGATTTATATTCCTTTGGGTATATACCTAATAATGCTGGGTTGACTGGTAGTTCTAATTTCTTTGAGAAATCACCAAACTGCTTTCCACAGTGGCTAAATTTACGCTCCTACCAGCAGCATATGAGTGTTCCCTTTTCTCCACAGCCTTGCCAGCATCTGTTATTTTTTGACTTTTTAATAATAGCCATTCTGACTGCTATGACATTGTGGTCTTGATTTGCATTTCTGTAACAATGAGTGATGCTGAGCATTTTTCTGTGTCTGTTGGCCACATCTTTTCTTTTGGAAACAATCTGCTCACATCCTTTGCCCACTTTTTAATGGGGTTGTTTTTTAATTATTGATTTGCATTTCTGTAATAGGTGATGTTGAGCATTATTTCGTTTCTGTTGGCCACATGTATGTCTTATTCGGAAACTATCTGTTCACATCCTTTGCTCACTTTTTAATGAGGTTGCTTTTGTTTGTTAATTTGTTTCGGTTACTTATAGATTCTGGATATTAGTCCACTGTCGGGATTCATAGTTTGCAAATATTTTCTCCCATTCTGTGGGCTATTTACTCTGTTGATAGTTTCTATTCTATGCAGAAGCTCTTCAGTTAAATTAGGTCCCATTTGTCATTTTTTTGTTTTTGTTGCAATTGCTTTTGGTGTCTTCATCATGAAATCTTTGCCAGAGTCTACATCTAGAATGGTATTCCCTATGTTTTCTTCAAGAGTCTTTACAGGTTTTGGTTTTAAATTTAAGTCTTCAATTCACCTTGAGCTGATTTTTGTATATGGTACAAGGAAGGGGTTCAGTTTCAGTCTTCTGCATGTGGCTACCCATTTATCCCAGCATCATTTATTGAATAAGGAGTCCTTTCCTCATTGCTTTTGTCAACTTTGTTGAAGAACAGATGGTTGTAGGTGTGCAGCTTTATTTCTGGTCTATTTTTGTACCAGTACCATTCTGTTTTGATTACTATAGCTCTGTAGTATAGTCTGAAGTCAGGTAAGGTGATGCCTCCATCTTTGTTCTTTTTGCTTAAGATTGCCGTGGCTATTCAGGCTCTTTTTTGGTTTCCATATACATTTTAAACATTTTTTCTAATTCTGTGAAGAATGTCATTGGTAGTTTGATAGGAATAGCACTGAATTTGTAAATTGCTCTGGGCAGTATGGCCATTTTAACAATGTTGATTCTTCCTATCCATGAACATGGAATGTTTTTCTATTTCTTTGTGTCATCTCTGATTTCTTTGAGCAGTGTTTTGTAATTCTCATTGTAGAGATCTTTCACCTCCCCAGTTAGCTGTATTCCTAGGTATTTTATCTTTTTTTGCAGCTACTCTGAATGAGACTGCATTCCTGATTTGGTACTCAGCTTGGGCATTATTTGTGTACAGAAATGCTACTGATTTTCATACACTGATTTTATATCCAGAAACTTTGCTGAAGGTGTTTATTTGATTTAGGAGCTTTTGGGCAGAGACTATGGCATTTTCTAGGATAAAATTATACAGTCTGCAAACAGAGATAGTTTGACTGCCTTTGTTCCTATTTGGATGCCTTTTCTTTTTCTTGCCTGACTGCTCTGGCTAGGACTTCCAGTACTATATTGAATAGGAGTGGTTCTCATACCTAGAATATACAGCTAACCAGGGAGGTGAAAGATCTCTACAAGAAGAATTACAAAACATCCTTATCTTGTTCCAGGTCTCAAGAGAAACGCTTCCAGATTTTGCCTGTTCAGTGTGATGTGGGCTGTGAGCTTGTCATAGTTGGCTCTTAATATTTTGGGGTACAATCCTTCAACGCCTAGTTTGTGGAGGGTTTTTAAAATGAAGCGATGCTGAATTTTATCAAAAGCCTTTTCTGCATCTATTGAGATGATCAAGTGATTTTTGTTTTTAGTTCTGTTCATGTGATGAACCATTGATTTGTGTATGTTGAACTAAGCTTGCAACCCAGGGATAAAGCCTACTTGATTGCAGTGGATTAGCTTTTTGATATCCTGCTGGATTTGGTCTGCTAGTATTTGAAGATTTCTGCATCTATGTTCATCAAGGATATCGGCCTAAAGTTTTCCTTTTTTGTTGTGTATCTGCCAGGTTTTGATATCAGGATGATGCTGGCCTCATAGAATGAGTTAGGGAGAAGTCACTCCTCCTCAAAATTTTTTTGTTGTTTTTTGGGTGGAGTTTCGCTCGTCGCCCAGGCTAGAATGCAATGGCGATCTCGGCTCACTCAACCTCTGCCTCCCAGGTTGAAGTGATTCTCCTACCTCAGCCTCCCAAGTAGTTGGAATTACAGGTACCTGCCACCATGCCTGGCTAATTTTTTTGTATTTTTAGTAGAGATGGGTTTTTACCATGTTGGGCAGGCTGGTGCCAGCTCTTCTTTATGTGCTTGGTAAAATTCAGTTGTGAATTCATCTGGACCTGGGCTTTTACTTCTTGGTAAGTTTTTTATTACTGATTCAATTTCAGAACTCAGTATTGGTGTGTTCACAGTTTGAATTTCTTCCTGGTTCAGTCTTGGGATGTTGTTTTCAGGAATTTATCCTTTTCTTCTACATTTTCTAGTTTGTGTGTGTACAGAGAGGTATTCATAATAGCCTCTGGTTTTTGGTTTTTGTTTTTTTAATTTCTGTGGGGTTGGTGGTAATATTCCATCTATCATTTCTGTTGTACTTGGATCTTCTCTTTTTTTCTTTATTAGTTTAACTAGTGGTCTACCTATCTTACTTATTGTTTCAAAAAACCAAATTCTGGTTTTAATGATCTTTTACATGGTTTTTTTCTGTGTTTCAATTTCATTCAGTTCAGCTCTGAGTTTGGTTATTTCTTGTCTTCTGCTAGCTTTGAGGTTGGTTTTCTTTTGTGTGTGATGTTAAGTTGTTAATTTGAGATCTTTCTAACTTTTTGATGTGGGTGTTTAGCACTATAAACTTCAACACACCTTTAGCTGCCTCCTAGAGATTTTGGTATATTGTATCTTTCGTTTCATTAGTTTCAAATAATTTTTTGATTTCTCCCTTAATTTCATTATTTGCCAAGAAGTCACTCAGGAGCAGGTTAATTTCCGTGTAACTGTATGGTTTTGAGCCATCTTGGTATTGATTTCTATTATTTATTTATTTATTTCAGACAGAGTATTGCTCTTTTGCTCAGGGTGGAATGTAGTGGTGTGACTTTGGCTTACTGCAAACTCCACATCCCAGGCTCAAGTGATCATCCCACCTCAGCCCTCCGGGAGCGGGGACTACAGGAGCACACCACCACTCATGGCTGATTTTTGTATTTTTTGTAGAGATGGGGTTCTGCCACACTGCCAGGGCTGGTCTCAAACTTCAGAGCTCATGCAATCCACTCACCTCCAGCTTCCCAAAGTGCTGGAATTATAGGCGTGAGCCCCTGCACCCAGCCATTGATTTCTATTTTTATTGTATTTGGTCTGAGAGTGTGGTTGGTACGATTTTAGTTTTTCTAAATTTGCTGAGAGGAGTTTAATGGCCAGGAGTGTGGTTGATTTTAGAGTATGTGTCATGTGCAAATGAGAAGACTATATATTCTGTTATTTTGGGGTAGAGAGTTCTGTAGATATATGTTAGGTCCATTTGGTCAAGCTTCAAGTTCAGGTCCTGAATATCTTAGTTTTCTGCCTTGATGATATAATACATCCAGTGCGTTGTTAAAGTCTCCTGCTATTATTGTATGGTTATCTAAATCTCTTTGATGGTCTCCAAGAATTTACGTATCTGGGTGTTCCTGTATTGGGTGCATATATATTTAGGATAGTTAAGTCTTTTGTTGAATTGAATTCCTACCCAACATGTAACGCCCTTCTTTGTCTTTATTGATCTTAGTTGGTTTAAAGTCTGTTTTGTCTAAAATAGCAAATCCTGCTTTTTTCTGTTTTCCATTTGCTTGACTGATCATTCTCCATCCCTTTTCTTTGAGTCTATGGGTGTTACTGCATGTGAGATGGGTCTCTTAATGACAGTATATAATTAGGTCTTGGTTCTTTATGCAACTTGCCAACATGTGCCTTTTAATTGCGGCATTTAGCCATTTTACATTCAAGGTTAACATTGATATGTGCGCATCTGATCCTGTCATGTTGTTAGCTGGTTATTACATATACTTCATTGTGCAGTTGCTATAACGTGTCAGTAGTTTATGTAACTAATTGTGTTTTTGTGGCGGCTGGTAATATTTCTTTTGCTTCCACATTTAGAAAAAATATGAAACCATTTGGCCAGGCGTGGTGGCTCATGCCTGTAATCCCAGCACTTTGGGAAGCCAAGACGGGCAGATCACTTGAGGTCAGACTTCAAGCCAGGAGTTTGAGACCAGCCTGGCCAACAGGGTGAGAAACTCTGTCTCTATTAGATCATGCCACTGTACTCCAGCCTGGGCAACAGAGTGAAACTTCATCTTAAAAAAAAAAAAGAAAGAAAAGAAAAAAAAATATGGAATTCTTCATGAATCTCTGTCATTCTTGCACTGAGGCCTCACTAATCTCTGTATCTTTCCAATTTTAGGGGACGTGCTGCCAAAACAGGCACTTGAATATTTTAATCCAGCTTATATGAGGGAAAAAAGCTGGAAATTGTTTTTTTTTTTGTTTTTTTTTTTTTTTTTTGAGACGGAGTTTCGCTCTTGTTACCCAGGCTGAAGTGCAATGGCGCGATCTCGGCTCACCGCGATCTCGGCTCACCGCAACCTCCGCTTCCTGGGTTCAGGCAATTCTCCTGCCTCAGCCTCCTGAGTAGCTGGGATTACAGGCACGTACCACTGTGCCCAGCTAATTTTTTGTATTTTTAGTAGAGACGGGGTTTCACCATGTTGACCAGGATGGTCTTGATCTCTCGACCTCGTGATCCACTCGCCTCGGCCTCCCAAAGTGCTGGGATTACAGGTGTGAGCCACCACACCCGGCCCTGGAATTTCTAATATTTAAACCTAGTTGCCTCTAGTTTAAAGATATAAGTATGAACCTCATTTAAACATCATGTAAATAAAATCTAATTTAAGCACAAATCCCTATTTGGCAGCGATGAACTTAGTTTTAACATTATATTATCTGCCAATTTCTGGTACATTTAAAAAACTCTCGAATACAAACACTACCTAATAAGTGAAAGAAAATAAAATATCCTAATCATGCTGTTTTGCAATAATTTTGGTTTATGATAAAGAAAAAACACATACTTACTTATGGGCTCTGAATGTATAGATAGGTTCTACATCAAGAGAAGTGCTCCTAAATCAAAGAGAGATAACTGTTACCACTCTAAGTTTCAGTAGTAAACAGTATAATTAAATATATGTCATAAAATTGCCTTTAAAAATACAAACATTATGGGATTATACTATCCTAACTACACGGTACATAAGAAAGATCATTTAATACCAATTTTACTTTCATGGCATCAAGAACAAGATTCTTGTTTAGTAATAGTATCCTGTTACAGTATTTTTAGCCCTGTCATAATCTATTTGACTAATGGAAAAGATAGCTTCATTCAAGAGAAACAACTTTGGGAAGATAAATTTCTGAACTCAACTTCCAGTTCTGTCACTAACTGGCTAACTTTAAGCAAATTATTTACTCTTTCAGAACTTCAGATTCCTCTGTTTAAAACCAAACAGAAAAACGGGAGTAACACCAAATAATCACAGGATTAAACAGGATTCTACAATTGAGAAGACACCACAGGACACAATCATGCACAGAGCAGGATATCAACAAATGGTACTTTTATTTCCTTGCCTTTCCAATAAGGTTAATATGTCTATCCTCCATACTGTATAGACTGCCCAAATTATCAGTTTATTCATTACTCAGAACTCCATTATTATAGGTATACTATCCTCTAATACTGGCTATAACTTTGATGAAAACTGGATTTAAAGTCATGTACTTACTGTTTCTACATTATATTGCAATTATTTATAGACACGCTATCTCAGAATGTACAACCTGGAAACCATTTTTCTCTTTTGAAAACACCTAATCTATATGAGGGTCAACCTGGTTTTAGTAATATGTGGCTGAACTTTCTGAAGTAGACTGATAAATCAAGTATTTCATCTACCCTATGTATGACACAGCATAAATGACACTGATCTCTCTTTTTTTTTTTTTTAAAGATGGGGTTTCACCATGATGGCCAGGCTGGTCTTGAACTCCTGACCGCAGGTGATCCACCCACCTCGGTCTCCCAAAGTGCTAGGATTACAGGCATGAGCCACCGTGCCCGGCTGACACTGATCTCTCTTAAACCAGGGGACAGATTTCCTCCATTGGTAGTAAAATTTTTGTAACCTCCTCTATTTGATGTTTAGTGATGACTCATAATAACAAAGTGCCTGACGCTGCAAAAGGGCCTTTGCTGGCAGATGCTGAGTTGTTTTTTTTTTTGACATGTGATCCAAAGTAGGAGAGGAGTTCCAATAAGGACTCAAGCAAGTAGAGTCAGGTTTAGCTATGTAACTTTTAAAGGGTTTATACTAACTCAACGTCTATCCATGCTTAGACAGGAACTAAGGGGCCAAGGTAAGCACTAGCAGTTAAATTAGCCTCTTGAGTCCAAACATATTGGTGGGTATGGAAAGTACCTCAACTCTCAAGGCCAAAAGATAAGACCAAGGAGAGGTCCTCCACCCATCCCAGTGAGGCTTTACTCTGCTCTACCCCGTAAGTCTAAATCTAGTAAACAATAGGGCAAGGTGGAGGTGGAGATTTGATCATTTTAAAGATACATATACCTGTTTATAAGAACAGTCAAAACCTTCAGTATAGCTAAGGGGCTCCCCAAATATAGCAGTCATTTAAAAATACTGTTATGTATAAGAACTGTAATCAGTACTCATAAACCCTAGGGAAACCATCAGATAATACCGTATCTTCCTAAGCACCAGTTTTCTAACCTAACATTAAGTTGTATAAATGAAAAAACACAATATAATTACATAACATGGAAGAAAGAACTAGAAGAAATGTTTGGGAAATTTAATAGAAATAATAAAACGTAGTTTTCTGCTGAAAATGTTAAAAACATTCAAATAATTTTAAAGTAGAATATTCTCACTTTTTGGCTGGGGCTGTTTTCTGCAAATTCCACATTTTTAATGTGTGATCCTCTGACGCTGTTATCAAAACAGGCTCAATGGGATGGAAAGCAAGGGCTCGGATGCCATCAAAGTGACTTCTTAATGTAAACTTAGGGTTCCATGTCTTCCTCAATGCATCTTTATTGTTCGCTATCTATTAAAGAAACAAAACAAAGATACCTACGCACTTAGTTCAGGATAGAAGGAAAAATGTGCATTTCAACATTAATTCTTGCTGATTTGTCACAAAACCATCACTTTGTAATTTTTAAAACAACATAATTTTTATCCCTAAATAACCAAACCAAGAAGCAAACTTAGCAATAACCCAACACCAGTTTTCTTTGAAGAATCATTAAAGGTATATTACAAAATCAGTTAAAATAATTCAATATAAAAAGTGAATCAAATTATATAAAATAGATCTTTACTATAATGCTAAATAAAACCAAATAATTCAACACAAATTATAGTATTCAATTATAATCTTGGGAACGACAACTCAAGATGGCGCTGTGAGAACAACCCAGGATTGAGGCTCTCGCTGGATGTGCAGAGTAGGTGAGTCAGGAACGCATTTCCAGACGGACCTTTGTTGCCCACAGAACGGGGAAATTCCCAGATATAAAACAAAGGTGGGATGCAAGCCAGAGATCTTGACTGGTGTAGCCAGCAGCCGGTGCGGCTGCGGCCCGCGTTGGAGTGCAGAGGCGCTCCACAGAGGTCCGCACAAAAGCGCACTGTTCCAGGTGCCCTGTTGAACTGGCAACCTGAGACCTGAGAGGGCTTAACTTGAGACTGAATGGGACTTGAACAGTGAGCCAGCCCAGGACAAAGCGTTAGGGGTAGCGCAGTGCAACAAACAAAACGGGATTCCAAACGCTCGCTGTTAGGAGGTTACATTAAGGTGCAGGTCCATGCGGGAGGGGCGTCGGTCATTACCGAGGCAATCAGCCCCTACTGAGGTACACGCCCATTGCTGACTCAGCCTGCCGTTGCCGAGGCAACCCGGCACAACAGAGAGACTCCGCCGCAGGGCGGAGCCCGCGGCTGCAGGGCGGAGACCGCAGAAACGGTAAACCTCACACCAGCAGGGCGGAGCCCCGGCAGGACAAGACTGCCTCCTAGCTGGGCAGGACAACCCGGCAGACACTCAAAGATAAAGCACCAACCCCTTCAGAAAGAGCAGCTGAGAAAAAAAGGGCATTTTTTGAGTTCTGTTGCAGTAGAACTAAACATAGCAGCCTAACAGCCCTGAATGAACATCAGAGCTCACAGCTCAGCACTTGAGCTACTATAAAGTACGGACTGTCTCCTCAAGCAGCTCCCTGACCCCTCTATATCCAAAAGACTGACATTTGGCAGACATCATTCTGGGACAAAGATAGCAGAAAAAGAAACTGGTAGCATCCCTACTGTTCCGCAGCTGCTATAGGTGTACCCCAGACAAGCAGGGCCTGGAGTGGACCTCTGCAGTCGTACAGCAAAAGGGCTAGACTGGTAGAATGAAAACCAAGTAACAGAAATACTTCATCATCAACAATCTGGGGGTCCACCCAGAGACCCAATCGAAAAGTCAGCAACTACACAGACGACAGGTGGATAAATCCACAAAGATGGGAAGAAACCAGAGCAAAAAGGAGGAAAACACCCGAAACCAGAACACCTCGCCTCCTAGAAAGGAATAAAACTCCTCACCAGCAAGGGAACAAAGCTGGATGGAGAATGGCTGTGACGAAATGACGGAATTAGACTTCAGAAGGTGGATAGTGAGAAACTTTTGTGAGCTAAAAGAACATGTTTCAAATCAATGCAAAGAAACTAAGAACCTTGAAAAAAGATTCGAGGAAATGATAACAAGAATGGATAACTTAGAGAGGAATATGAATGAATTAAAGGAGCTGAAAAACACAATACGAGAACTTCGCGAAGCATGCACAAGTTTCAATAGCCGAATTGACCAAGCAGAAGAAAGAATTTCAGAAGTCGAAGATCAACTCAATGAAATAAAACAAGAAACCAAGATCAGAGAAAAAAGTACAAAAAGGAATGAACAAAGTCTCCAAGAAATGTGGGACTATGTGAAGAGACCTAACCTACGTTTGATAGGTGTACCAGAATGTGACGAAGAGAATGAATCCAAGTTGGAAAATACTCTTCAGGACATTATCCAGGAAAATTTCCCCCACCTAGCAAGACAGGCCAACACTCAACTGCAGGAAATACAGAGAACACCACAAAGATATTCCGCAAGAAGAGCAACCCCAAGGCACATAATCGTCAGATTCAACAAGGTGGAAATAAAGGAAAAAATACAAAGGGCAGCCAGAGAGAAAGGTCGGGTCACCCACAAAGGAAAGCCCATCAGACTCACAGCAGATCTCTCGGCAGAAACTCTGCAAGCCAGAAGAGAGTGGGGGCCAATATTCAACATCCTTAAAGAAAAGAACTTTCAACCCAGAATTTCATATCCAGCCAAACTGAGCTTCAGAAGTGAAGGAAAAATAAAATCCTTTGTGAACAAGCAAGTACTCAGAGATTTTGTCACCACCAGGCCTGCTTTACAAGAGCTCCTGAAAGAGGCACTACACCTAGAAAGGAGCAACCAGTACCAGCCATTCCAAAATCACACTAATTGCTAAAGAACATCAACATAATGAAGAATCTACAACAACTAAAAGGCAAAACAGCCAGCTAGCATCAAAATCGCAGTATCAAATTCACACATAACAATACTAACCCTAAATGTAAATGGACTAAATGCACCAATCAAAAGACACAGACTGGCAAATTGGATAAAAATCCAAAACCCATCAGTGTGCTGTATCCAGGAAACCCATCTCGCATGCAAGGATACACAAAGGCTCAAAATAAAGGGATGGAGGAAGATTTACCAAGCAAATGGAGAGCAAGAAAAAGCAGGAGTTGCAATTCTCATCTCTGATAAAATAGACTTTAAAGCAACAAAGATCAAAAGAGACGAAGAAGGCCATTACATAATGGTAAAAGGATCGATACAACAAGAAGAGCTAACGATCCTAAACATATATGGACCCAATACAGGAGCACCCAGATACATAAGGCAAGTTCTTAAAGACTTACAAAGAGACTTAGACTCCCACACAATTATTGTGGGAGACTTTAACACCCCACTGTCAATATTAGACAGATCAACCAGACAGAAAATCAACAAGGATATCCAGGGCTTGAATTCAGACCTGGAGCAAGCAAACCTGATAGACATTTACAGAACTCTTCACCCCAAATCCACAGAATATATATTCTTCTCAGCACCACATCACACCTACTCTAAAATTGACCACATAATTGGAAGTAAAGCACTGCTCAGCAAATGCAAAACAACTGAAATCATAACAAACAGCCTCTCAGACCATAGTGCAATCAAGTTAGAACTCAGAATTCAGAAACTGACCCAGAACGGCACAGCTTCATGGAAACTGAACAACTGGCTCCTGAATGTTGACTGGATAAACAACGAAATGAAGGCAAAAATAAAGAAGTTCTTCGAAACCAACGAGAACGAAGACACAACATGCCAGAATCTCTGGGACACATTTAAAGCAGTCTCTAGAGGAAAGTATATAGCAATAAGTGCCCATATGAGGAGAATGGAGAGATCCAAAATTGACACCCTATCGTCAAAATTGAAAGAGCTAGAGGAGCAACATCAAAAAAACTCAAAACCCAGCAGAAGACAAAAAATAACTAAGATCAGAGCTGAACTGAAGGAGATTGAGACACGAAAAACCCTCCAAAAAATCAATAAATCCAAGAGCTGGTTTTTTGAAAAGATCAACAAAATAGACAGACCACTAGCTAGATTGATTAAAAAGAAAAGAGAGAACAACCAAATAGATGCAATAAAAAATGATAAAGGGGAAATCACCACAGATTCCACAGAAATTCAAACCATCATCAGAGAATATTACAAACAACTCTACGCACATAAGCTAGCAAACCTGGAAGAAATGGATAAATTCCTGGACTCCTATGTCCTCCCAAGCCTAAACCAGGAGGAAGCTGAAACTATGAATAGACCAATAACAAGGGCAGAAGTCGAGGCAGCAATTAAGAGCCTACCACACAAAAAAAGCCCAGGTCCAGACGGGTTCACAGCCGAATTCTACCAGACACACAAAGAGGAGCTGGTACCATTCCTTCTGAAACTATTCCAAATAATCCAAAAAGAAGGAATCCTTCCCAAATCATTCTATGAGACCAATATCATCCTGATACCAAAACCCGGCAGAGACCCAACAAGAAAAGAAAACTTCAGGCCAATATCCATGATGAACAGAGATGCGAAAATCTTCAATAAAATATTGGCAAGCCGATTGCAACAGCAAATCAAGAAACTTATCCATCATGATCAAGTAAGATTCATCCTAGGGATGCAAGGCTGGTTCAACATACGCAAGTCTATCAGCATAATTCACCACATAAACAGAACCATAAACAAAAACCACATGATTATCTCAATTGACGCAGAGAAGGCATTTGACAAAATTCAACAGCCCTTTATGCTAAAAACCCTCAATAAACTCGGTATTAATGGAACATATCTCAAAGTAATAAAAGCTATTTATGACAAACCAACAGTCAATATCATACTGAATGGGCAAAAACTGGAAGCATTCCCTTTGAAATCCGGCACTAGACAAGGATGCCCTCTTTCACCACTCCTATTCAATATAGTACTGGAAGTTCTAGCCAGAGCAATCAGGCAAGAAAAAGAAATAAAGGGTATTCAAATAGGAAAGGAGGAAGCCAAATTGTCTCTATTTGCAGACGACATGATAGGATACCTAGAAGACCCCATCGCCTCAGCCCAAAAACTCCTGAAACTGATAAGCAACTTCAGCAAAGTCTCAGGATATAAAATCAATGTGCAAAAATCACAAGCCTTCCTCTACACCAATAACAGACTTAAAGAAAGCCAAATCAAGAACGAACTGCCATTCACAATTGCTACAAAAAGAATAAAATACCTTGGAATACACTCACAAGGAATGTAAGGGACCTCTTCAAGGAAAACTACAAACCACTGCTCAACGAAGTCAGAGAGGACACAAACAGATGGAGAAACATTCCATGTTCATGGTTAGGAAGAATTAATATCGTGAAAATGGCTAT